GCCTCGCTGCTCAGGCCCTAGTATTTCACTATTGTAAGACAATATTTGCCTTAAGACCTTTATCTCTCTGGTGTTTCTAATGGGTGTATGAAATCTGGCCCCTTCAAAACCAAGTTGTATTTAAAACTCTACTAGGGTACACCCTAAAAATATTAATTTCTATAGTAGCCCGTCTACAATGAAATTTTAAACATATTTTCTCATCCACTTATTTGGTAACTTGCAGGTTCTTGCCATTTTCTTCCCTTTAAATCAGAATATTCTCAAGAGGAAAGTTGTCCTGGTTTTTAATTTCAGCTGCACTGCGCTGGTTCTTTTTCTCAGTGCGTTGAAAGCTGTGTTAGAAGAAAGATATGGACATTTATTAATTTAAAGATAAGGTTATTTATTATTTGTAATTGAAAAAGAATATGTGAAGATGTTTGTGAACTAAATTCACATTAACCCTTTTGATGTTACTAGTTAGCCAGGCATCACTTGTATGACTAGGACTTCATGAGACCTTACAGTGTCTGATCATATGAAAAAGGGAGGGCAGGCTAGGTGCAGCTCTTTGCTTCTTCCTGACAGTAGTGGTACCTGTGCAGCTTTACTTGGCACTTAGGTGTTAAAGTATATCACAGCTTGAACTAGTAAAAAATTTAAGGTACAAGTTTATTTGACTGGAAAGTTGTGAAATTAAATTTGCTTTTGTGGTGATGCTCAAAGGTTAGATTTTTCTAAATCACAAAATAATTTTTAATAATCTTAAAAAAACTAAATGAAAACTGAAGGGTCCAAAGTGTATTATCCAGAACATTCTTTTTTGTACATTTAGATATATTGAAGTCTTAGTAGGCTGGGTGAAATAATGATTTTCTGTCTTCTAAATACAACAGTCCTGTTGATCCATCACATCCAAAATTACATGTTTTGTAGTAGTGTTCCATTACTGTTTTTGGAGAGCTATATTAATGTTATTACTTCTCTTATTCTTGGCCTACTTAGAACTTTTTATTTATCCTATAGCGTAATTGCTGATGAAGTATTTTGTTGAAACTTTCAGTCATATCAAGATTGAAGTTTAAGACATCTTGATGATGTTTCAGAGTAGATATTCCAGGAACTTGAGTAAGCAATTCACTGCTCTTGAAAATATATTTTCATAACTGTATTTTTATGCATATGATAGGACTTTGAAAGTGTTACTGTGCAACAAAAAGAAAACTGTTTCAAATACTAAAATTGGTGCTCAATGTCTACCAAAAACACACTAGGTTAGCAAGTGCTGTTATGGTGTTCTGCCTGTCAAGTCTTTCCTTTTTAACTGATACTCATATCTCATGATACAGCTCTTGTGAACACAGTGATTAATTAGGTGAATTAGGTGGGGCAGGGGGGGGGAGGGCATGGAACCAGGCAGAAATCACGTATGACTCAAGACCTTCTACCTTTGCTAGTGCGGCCAACCTGGAAGGTCATGTTCTGAGATAAAATTTGTAGGTAGTATCTTGAGTTTCTTCATATGAGACTTCTGTCTACTTTCTTTACCTTCCAGTTTAGATTAGAGATGTCCATCAGGTTTTTGGCGGGTTGGGTTTTTTTGAAAATTGTGAAAGTACCAAAGGCAAAACCTTCTAAGATGTGAACATCTGGTTCTCTACCTAGATATTAATGGATCATCAGAACTTATCAGAACATGTGCTTTGCATGGTTTTGTATTTGATTGAGCTGGGGTTGGAAAATTCTCCAGAACAAGAGTCAGATGAAGAGGTAAGAATAAATACCATCTTCTTCATTGAAATATAAAAGTATTGTCTAATGATTTGATATTTAAAAATAGATGTTTATTAAAATTATAATTTTACCATAGGAATGAGAATAAAACTTTTTTATTTAGTTACTTAAGCATGGATCAACTAAGCAAAAGAAAATAAGAAAATTGCATACTGTTGTGGAGTATGGTATCTTGTTATGTTTTTCAACAGTTTTTGTATGTAATACCTGAGAACACAGATTGGTTAGATTTTTAGTCAGCTGTAAATTTGTTCTTGAAGTTGTGTGCAAAAAAATGTAAAATGATTGATGCTAAAACCACTTAAATTTCTAGATTTTTCAACTGAAACCTTTGTCACTGAGCATTTTATTGCTAAAGCTCTGTATCTTCTAAAATATGTGAATTAACCAAAATTTTAACTGTGCTTTTGATGAGAATTTGACTATAAAGAGCCATTATTTGCATGATTCCAGATTCCCTTACAGTATATGACTTATAATTTTTACTACTGTTTAACATTGCTTGTACGACTAAGGATCTGCTGCCACTTTTTTTCCAGAGAGTGATTTCCGTATAGTTCTGATTTTTTGTATTAATCTTGGATTGTAAAGTAGGCATCAGTCATATCATAATTTTTAAAGAGGTATATCAGCTTTAGTGAGGTACATACTGTTAAACATGTTGTTCATGTCTCCTGGAGAGCTGATGGCCTCTGTAATACAGTTATAAAAGCAACATGAATTATTGTAACACACAAGAGAAGGTATACTAATTTTTAAAAATTATTTTAGGAATCTGCGTGTGGACAAGAGCGTTGCCATGATAGTTGGTTTCCAGGCAGTAACTTGGTTTCTAACATGCGTCACTTTATTAACTATGTCCGAGTAAGAGTACCAGAAACTGCTCCAGAGGTAAAGAGGGAACCACCTGCAAGTACGAGTTCTGATGGCTTAGCTTCATCACAAGTATGTATATACAAATACTGGTCCTTTTCCTAGATTAGTTTAAGTTATTGCCTGTTCAGGTGTTTTTGTTAGAATTACTTTTTTACTGTTTTTGTTAATTTCTTAAGGGTATTTTTTTCCTCCAGTAATCTTTCCTAAGTGATAAGAGAAACAAAAGTTATTTCAAATTATACCTCCTTCTAAATTATGTATTTAATGACTTTTTTTTGTCCTCAATCTACCAGAGTTCAAGGCGGAAGAGCCTGCAGAGAGAGGTAGATCTGTGTGCAGTTTGTTCTCTTAAGCGATTAACTAGCAACGTGGCTTTAATTGTGCTCACCTTAACATTCAGTGAAATCTTCTAATTTTCATGAATTTCTTTTTAATTTATATTGCAAGGACTCATGCTTTCTTCATATTCTTAATTGTAATGTTGGGTAGTAGACTTTTTAAGCAACAAAATGCCCTTACGTTTTTAATACATCTTTTGAAATAAAAGCTTTCTATCAAATATAAAATGTCATTGATAGCTTACTGCTTGAGCTTTGTGTTTAGGCCTGTTCTGTCTTGCCAAGATATTACTAACATTTGATAATGTAGAGTAGTCCTAGCTTTCCTGAATCTAGGTAAGTTTAACCTTACATTGAAAGTGCATTTGAAATAATTAATGGCAAGTTTTTGTGGGTTTTTTGTGACAACAAAATGAATATGTAAATAGTGGGATCCTGAAAGATGTATAGCCAGTAGATAATGTAATCTCTGTCTCAGGTTGCTTTTCTATCTTTTGTATACAGCGCTTCAGATTATTGTATGTCTTATGTAGTGAAATACAATGGGTATTTCTTTTGCATGTTAATGATAGAAAAACAGATCAAAATTTAAGGTAGGTAGGTGAGATGAAATAGATTATAATATAAAGAAATGATTGTCAGAATCCCATTGTAATATTTGATCTCTGAAGTATTTGGTATCTCTTGGCTGCCCAGCCTTCTGAGAAAGAGAGAGCAAGATGTTAAAGCATTCTGAATTTCATGTTCAAAATATTCAGGAAACATGTCTTTGCTACAGTATACGCAAGTTGCTTCCATCTGTCCTTAATTTGGGACTGAAAGCAAGGGTAGCATAGAATAAAAACATCTGAATGGGCTTTGTCATTAATGTAACTGCACTCATATGCTCATGTGCCCTGAATAGCAAGCTCTTCTTGCAAATGTGGGTATGTGGCTTCTGGATCTCAGCTTATAAATCCACACAAAATGAACAATGCCCATGGGAATGTGTGGACTCCTGTGTTCACCTGTGTGGGATTAGGAGTTACATTGTGCAGCACTGCTCAGTAGACTTTAATAAAGACATTTCAATGGCATAAAGATACTGAAATTATCAATATTCCAGAAAAAGTAAGGAAATGTTACTTGAAGAACAGAATTCTAACTTTGACTAGAGCAAAGCCAGTTGTTATTTGTTTTGGTATGGATGATGTTTTCATTTTGTACTTGGCTTTTCATGCAGCTGTGTATAATAGATTCGTATGAAAGTATGACATGCAGGGTTAGTATTTTGCTATACCAAATTTCAGTACATTTGAGAAAGGGAGAGGAAACTTACAATGTTTCCTGCTTTTCCTCCTAGTTTAAAATATTTTCTATAGTTTTATAAATGGATGTTGTTTATACTTGCATTTTTGACGATTACACATTGTCATTTTTTTCCCAAGAACTCAGGGACAGCTCAAGTGTTCAGTTTGGTCGCAGAACGCAGAAAGAAATTTCAGGAGATCATCAATCGGAACACCAGTGAGGCAAATCAGGTGGTTCGGCCCAAAACATCAATGAAATGGTCAGCACCTGGTGCAACTCCACAGCTAACCACAGCCATTCTAGAAGTCAAGGAAAGCATACTGTCCTTGCTGATTAAGTTGCATCACAAACTCTCAGGAAAACAAAACTCTTATTATCCTCCGTGGTTGGATGATGTGGATGTTTTAATCCACCCAGAAATGCCAAGATACTCTCATGGTGATGGAATGACGGCAGTAGAAAGAATTTTATTGAAAGCTGCTGTACAGAGCAGATTGAATAAACGTATAATTGAAGAGATATGCAGAAAGGTGACACCTCCTGTACCACCAAAAAAGATTAGTTCTGCGGAGAAGAAAACTCTGGATAAAGAAGAAAGGTAATATTAATAACGAAGTAAAGGGGCGGTAGAAGGGCAGTGTGTGTTGTGCATCTATTGATTGATCTGTCTCTAGGTCTTTGCATGAATTACTTATTAAAATAATAAGTCTTAATTCTACAGTTCTCTATCCATTTTGTATATACATGATTTACACGGGTACTGAGAAAGAACCTACACCTTGCTAATTTAGATTTTTAAATTAGAAGACTTTTGTAATGATTTTATGTGATATACATGCTCTCCATGTTGCCATGTATACCACTCATCTGTACAAAGGTGCAGAATTAAGATTGTGTTAACTTTTGAGACTGAACTGTGCAACCTCAAGATGAGTTGGAAATTTTTTTAGATTTGTATTGTCTTTTCATTCCCATGCACACATCACACCACGATTATTATACACAACACAGTGCCTGGAGGACAGCAACTAAAACTGAGAAGCAGAGGTGAAAACTAGGATGGGCAGGGGCGAGGAGTTGAAGACGGGGACTGGAAGGAGAAACCTTTGGTTGGTGTAGTAGAGAGCAAAGGGAAGATGCCAGGTCAAGTGAGTAGCTGATGTGGGAAGACTCAGGCTGGCAAGCTGGAGATGTTAGGGAAGAACTGAGTTGTCAGGACAGAAATACTCAGGTAAGAGTAGCAAATGAAAGAACCAATTTTTAGTGAAAATTTAAATGATGGAGAATAATGGGGTCTTGAGTGCTGATAGCAGAAGGAGAATGTGGAACAGGAATGCAAATGCCTGGAGGGCACGAGTAAGACAGAGATTGGCATTTGGGGGATGTAATAGAGCAAGCCAGAAAGAAGAGTTGTCTGGAGTAGGGCAGTGGTAACCGGTCAATTTCTATTTCAATAATTTCTTCCCACTGCCTCACTCCAGCCAGCTCTTCTTTGTGGCTGATGCCATGTGGTACTCAGTAGTGCTAGATTTATGTACAGGAAAAGCATGAGAATCAATTAATCAAGTAACTTTTCATATAGAAAAGGGTAAGGTCATTCATATCACCCTATAAAGATGCGATATTTTCAAGGATCTGTTGTGGGCACTGGTAGCTTGCTTTAGTCACTTGCTTTACAATCTTAGAGATTGTGGAGTCTTTGTTCCGCAAGTCAGCACTTTTAAGTTTTCTGGTAAGTTCTGGGGCTAACATAATGATGAAAATAAATGATTCCAGTTCTTTGTTGTTCTGAGTGGCTATTTTCTTTTCTTCAAATCCATAATGGCCTTGGGGACCCAGGAAGTTTATTAATGGACAGTGTGATAACTGAAATGGCTGATCTCATAGACTGACAGTGCTCACGTAGTCAGGCTGCAATTGTTACTTTCTTTTTTGATTGTGTTGTGTTGTTTTGTTTTTCTTTTTCCCCCAAGTCCAGTTTTGTATTAGTGAAGATCAAGGAGACTGGGAGTGTTCAGTGATCACCCTTTTTGGTTACTTCAGCATATAACGACAAACTTGTCATCACTCAGGCGATAGGTTGTTGCCATAGAAACTGAAATACAGAACTGGAAGAGAGCTTGAGCTGCTTGCAGTATTTTTTCAATTGCAGTGTCATACTCCCGTGGGCCATCATGGAAAATTACTGAGCTGTACTGAATCTGTCAGAGTTTGTTTATGTCTTCTTATTAAAGGCCTCTATTTACAGTCACTCTGCTTTTAGTCAAGATATATATTGAGAAATTTTCAGGGAGAAATAAATAAAAACAGGTTTAACGAATGCCCTGGTATGATCCTCAGAATAATGAATCTTAGCATTGTTGTAAATAGAAGTTATTTTGAGAAATGGTGGCTGTGCAATGTGGCAGATAAATGGGTGTGATATTTGGGGTTTTAAGGTGCCTTTAAGAAAACAAGTTAGAAGTTTTACTTATGAACAGGCCACCTGGGGATAACAGGTTACAGTACATTAGCTGCTTTGGGTCTGTGCACGCCTGTTCCTGTGTCAGGACAGTTGATAATCAGGCAGTGCTGGAGACTGAAGAGCAACCTATCAGCATATTGGGTGCCACGTGACGTTTTTAAATCCCTTGTTATCTGAATCATCTCAGGTGGAAGGGGGGGACAGGGGCTGCCTTGTAAATGCTGATGCACAGAGTTTGTAGCTCTGATAGAGCCCCGTTAGCTGCACTGCGGAGGTGCTGTGTAAAGCCTTCATCCATGGGGCACATAGGTCTTTGTGCCATGTGGTGAGCAGCTGTGGTGTGGGTTTTGTTTGGTTCTCCCACTTAAGCTCTCCCATTTTCTCTATTTGTAAGCTTTTGTCAAAGTAAAGATCCTTTCTTGGTACCTCAGGAAGAAGAAAATCAATGTCTATTTTATTTATTTTATTTATCTTTTTACATGCATCAGTATTCCTCTACTTGCTGCAGTATGTAAATAGAGGGATTTATAGGATAGCTGGTTATCTAGCCTTATAGAGATCACTGATACAGTTCAGAGATTCATTCTTGTCTGTTCTTCTATTTAATGTCTTCCATTTGTAAATCCCGAGCGGTGTTAAACGATGAGGCAGAAGTTAGTGAAGTCAGCTTGGGTCCAGGGAGATAAGGGTCTTCCCTCTGGAAGCAATCTCAGACTTTAAAAAGTTCAGGTATAAAAGCTGTTGGTGACCGGTATCTTGGATGGAGGTGGGGAAGAAGGAATCAGTATGAGGAGCTTTAGCTGGAAAATAAGTTATTAATTATTTCCCTTGGCATCAAGCTTGATATCAAAAGTAATTGAGGTAGACTTTTTATATTAGTAGTAGTAGTATTTTTATTATTATTAATTGACTTGTAAACATTGCTTGCTTACAAGAGTACTTGATTTTGTACAGTGGTTGACATTTCACTGGTATTCTTCCCTTGTGTAACAGAAATACAGCTTTCAAGAATAAGGTTTTGGGTTCTTTTTCTTATGATGTCGAAAAATGGAAATTGAAAATGAATCCGTTATTTAGAAAAAACTTGAATTTTGAATGATAATATCGAAGGTGGCAACTGTAATCAGCCTGATACTATAAACTAATTTTCTTTCTCTGTTATATATCTCTCTCTTTTTTTTTTTCTCTTTGTCCTTCATCTTCCTTCACTCAGGCGACAGAAGGCCAGAGAAAGGCAACAGAAGTTGTTGGCTGAATTTGCTTCAAGGCAGAAAAGTTTCATGGAAACTGCCATGGATGTTGGTAAGTTTTTTGTGTGGTTGACTGCTTGCCCTTTATTTTTTTTTTTTCCTCCTCTTTAATTTTTATTTCCACTCTATTATTAAGGTTTTTACAGTTTAAAAAAAACAAATACAAACAAACACCAAAACCCAAACAAAACCCTCTCCCTTCAGATTCTGTTACTATATCCACTTGTTCGCTAAATGCTTCTTAAAAGGCTTAAAGTTGTGTTCTCTAGGAATAACACTGAATACGTAATTGCTAAAGAATAGATTAAATTATGTTTAAAAATATTTAGAAGAGAACACATTATCTGTAGGACATAATTTTTTTCTTATTTTTTCTTAGTACATGGTGGATGAAATGATTCAATGTATGTGATGTGTTCTAAAGTGTTTACCTTTTAATATAAAATGTCCCAAAGTTAGTCTTCTGTAGATTGCTTTTACTTTAATCTGTAATAATAAAATAAAAGATTATTTCTTCATAGAGCCTGAAATTTTAATAATTTTCATTTTAAATTTATGTATAGAATTAAGGAAAGCATAATTGTTAGATCATCTCAGTTGCTATAGGTGATAATACTATTCTATGTATTCTATGTCAAGTACAGGTTTTTCAGCTGAATCAGTTCTTGTTTTTCTTCAGGGTAAGTTCATTCAGGTTCTGCTGTGTAGAAGTGCATAGTCTTGGTTAGTTTGCTTGTGTTTAGCCAAGGAACAGAAAATATTTTTATCTGGATTACTTCATTGAAAATTAGCACTTTTGAAAGATAAGAAAAAACAAGAATCTTTTTTTTCCCCCCTTCTTTCACTCAAATATTATTTGCTATGTAGTTTTGATTTGATTTTAAGCACTGGTTAGAAATATTTTGACAACTGTTTTTGCTGAAAAAGTCTGTTTGAATTGTTAAATTCCCTTCAGTTCATAGGTTGTTGAGAAGATTTATTCCTTCATACTTATTAAGGTCTTGGATACAGCAATCATTGAAATTTCTTTAGTAAATTAATGACTATATATATGATATTATGTCTGGAGAGCGTGCAGTACAATACAAAGTTCACAGATAAAAATGAGTTTAAGGCATGATTATTAAATGGATAGCTATTTCTTTTCAATCTGTTTGTTAAAGTAAGGAAGAAGGGAAGAAGTGACCTGCAGTTCTACTTACTAAAAATAAAGTCTTTTTACAGTCATGGCTCATGAAAATGACTGGGAAACTTTGATTCTGCAGTCACCTATATTTTGAATTTTTGATGTTACAACTTTAAAGTTGATGGTTTCATATATGAAATCACATGTATGTATATGTATTTACCTGTTGTAGCTGTATATGCATATATACATGTATGCATAAATACATGCTTGAGTTTTATAATCTATGTTTGAGGTAACTGCTATGATTTGTGGATGAAGCATACTAGTTAAATCAATAAATTACACAGCACTTACTTGTGTGGAGCACTGGGAACATGTGGCTTTTACTTAGCTACATAAGGTCAAATATTAAAAAGAACCTTTAATTTCTGTCACAGGCAGACCCGGGCCTTTGTGCTTATGATTTTGCATTTGAAAAAGAAAACAATCTTTTCATGCTAAAATAATTAAAAATGCATTCCCTTCTCACACATTCTAACTCGTGTTGCTTGTTACTTTTATGATAGGTTGAATTTAGCAGTGGGTTTATTTCTTAATTTTGATTGTGAGTTGTAACAGTAATAACACAGTCAGGATACAGGGCTGGTGAGGGCTCAGCTCCCTGGGTTTGTCACTGATTCAGTTGGTGTCATTTGGGCAAATTATTATTATTATCATCATCATCTTTTAAAGCTTCTCTATCTATGAAATGTGGATTCAGTGGTAAAATGTGAGAACTGATATAATTAGTTCTGAGTATAGCACTTCAAAAATTTCGTAATAGTCTTCTCTGAACAGTGCAGAAGACTGAAAATACTGTGAAAATAAATGTGTCTAGAAGACAATAGGAATAATGGAGAATAGCCGATGCTTAAAGATTATTTTATTAAAGCCCCATAAACTTAATAGTTTACAAAGTGTTTATTAAAGTGCTCAGGCTACTGTTAATCCCCTGAGGCATTCCTCGTTTGTTTGTTGGGATGCACCAATGAAACATGGATTAAAAGGAAGCTACCCAATTACATATTCATTTTTCCGTATTAAATGTGTGTCATTTTACTAGAAAAAATTATTTATTTGAACTGGAATTTACTGAATTCATCTGAAATTATGAAAGGAAATGTTGGCATTTCCTTGCATATAATCACTGTAGAAAAAAATTCTGATTATTTAGCCCTTTCCATTTGTGCCCCCTGTTACTTTCTATTTATATTCTGTGACATCTGCAGAACTGTATTGCCATTCAAGCTTGCCTGGAAGTAATTAAGTGAAATTTAGAAACAGTTATGTTAATGAACTAGGATGGAACAGAATCCACTGTGCTGTCTTTAGCTGTTTGACTGCAGGACACACTTAAAAAGTAGACAAACCAAGAAACATTGTTCCTAAGAGCAGCAGATAGAGCTCTTGAAATATCTGAGGAAAATGTTTAGTGAGTCAAAAATGTATTGTCATGTAGTCACATACAGTGTCAATTCCACAGACCTAGTCTCCTAGTAAGAGCTGCTCTTGCATCTTTGTTTTGAGAACACTTATCTCAGTGTGAGGCTATGGTTTGTTTATCTGTCATGATGCGGAACTCTATGCAAGCGATTTTTGAAGCTTTGCTGCCTTTCAGGCTGGACTTGATAAGAATAAAAATAAATCCCTCTGCTCCAGGCTAAGACTAGCCTTTAACAAATCAGTGATATTTGTAAAGATATGTCTATCTAAGTTTTATAAGCATGAAATATTATGATCCATTCCAGGCAAGCTGCTTAACTACTTAATGAAATATATCGTAGTGAATATTTGTAAATTGGTTAATTTGTGACTTATAAATATTAAGATATCTTGCATTCCTTCAGTAGTTTTGCTCACTCTGAAATACTCAATGTGATTATTTTTTTTTTAAAATGCCTCATTATGAGTATGCAGTATGATCTTTGTGTTTCTTTCCTATGATGTGAGTCTTGGCAGGATGTCATTTTGTCCTTCAAGCAAACAATCCTTAGCTAGAGTTAGAAAGAAGTGCAGAGTTGTAGCGCAAGGTGACATACATTTCCTAATGCTCAATCTTCTGAACCCAGATAGAAAAATAAATTATTTTTTTTAAATGCCTCATTATGAGTATGCAGTATGATCTTTGTGTTTCTTTCCTATGATGTGAGTCTTGGCAGGATGTCATTTTGTCCTTCAAGCAAACAATCCTTAGCTAGAGTTAGAAAGAAGTGCAGAGTTGTAGCGCAAGGTGACATACATTTCCTAATGCTCAATCTTCTGAACCCAGATAGAAAAATAAATTATGTACTGATCTCTTGAGAAAATATATGCTGGGTCAGGGCAAAGAATATTAGCATGCTAATAGTTGCTTTGATGCCAAGGGGCCACTTTGACATGCAGTGTATATATAGTGGTAAAAATGTTGACTGCAGTCAACAGAGATTGTAAGCTGTATTTACTGTGTTTACAGAGCCCTTTTGGTTCTGGGGTTTTGCTGGGTAAGGGACGAATGGGAGTGAATCTTTAACTCCAGAATACAAATGAAATAAAATTCAGGCAGCAGTGCATTCTGCAATAAAACAGTGTGCTAGATTTTAGCAGACTGATTGGTATTTGCTAGGAGGTAGGAAGTGCTAGGATTTTGTAACTGAAGGTCTCTCACTCCTATTGGTACAAAACCAAACAAAGAGCTAAATAAAAGTGCTAGGATTTTGTAACTGTAGGTCTCTCACTCCTGTTGGTACAAAACCAAACAAAGAGCTAAATAATTAACTTTTTTTTTAAGACACATGGGAATGATGGTGTTGGGCACTACCCTGGATTTCTATCACAGTTTAAATATTTCCATCCTCCATCAGTGTTTTTATATTCGTTTTGAATGAGGTTCATATTTATCCACATTTCTGAAATAATTCACAAGGACAAAGAAAAGTCCCAGAACCCACTGTAAGGGGTTAGGGGTGTGTTACAACATGAGACAAACCTCGTGAGAGAAACTTGGTAAATTGATACCAATACCATGTGTCTTACGTTGTATTTCCCATTTACTCCTTCTTCATGCACATTGACATCATCAGGACAAGTCTCTGTGAAATCTGTTAGGTTAAATCTTTGGAGAGTCAGAGTTTTAAACTGTAAGCATTCTTGGCTGCTTGACATAAAATACACTTCTTGTCTCATATTACTGCTGCCTGGCTAGTAAAGCCATGCTTCAGCCTGGCAACTGAAGCGACCTTGGTCTTCCTTGCTCTCTTGTTGCCAGTGCCTACTTGCTGAATCTCCAGTGGAGTGGTGAGATGTCTTGGTTTGGGTGCCAGTGGTTTTCACACAAGACAAAACTGCAGGCTCCTACAAAACCTGTTTGAAAGGTGGAGGAGTAGCATGCCTCAAGATGAGTATCTTAGCAGATAGCTGGCAAAGGATTCTTTTGGCACTTAGTAAGGCAATGTTGTTCCGGGACATAACACACAAGTGCTATTTTAATGGAAATATATTCAGCAAATCTGTCAGCAAAAAATATTAGGAATTTTAGGAGATCTAGATTATTCTTCACTTTTTAGTTGCAACTGATGTAGCTTTGAGTTCTAGAATTAAATTAGCCTGATTTCTATGTGCTTGTTGCACATAGGCAATAGAAGTATAGATTTTCCTGTACTGAATTGTTTTGAAACAGCTTTTAAACCTTCTGGTTTAAAATACACAATCTATGATGAATGAATGGTATTTTGTATATTAAATGTTGACTGATTTTGAGGACTTCCATTGAGTTGTTAAAATCAGATTGACACACTGTGTTCTCTTAATACACTTGAATATTGAATGGATGCATATTTTATGTTATATTTTTCTGAAATACTGACGATACAAATAAGAAGGCTGGAGCTCTCTGGTCATTGTCATGTAATGTCATGCTTCTGATAGACAGATGTACCCGAGTGTGCATTGCACAATTATGAGGTGATGTTAAATAGCTTTAGTGTTTACTTACTCCCTTCTGTGTTACAGCTGCTCCTAGGTTTTCTGGATGTTTGGACTTAAAATTTAGCATTTGTAGTTGATGCATTGTGCTTCTTCTTTTACTGTACATCTGGCTGCCACTAGATGGTGACAGACGTGTGTACAATATGAACAACTGTATGTCAATGAAGATCAGAGTTCATTTTCATGTGACCCTCAATAACTGCCTGGATATTCAGTAGTTACTAAAACAATGTAATTTTGATTCTGCTCAGTGAGTGAGAGCATTGCATGGAGTTTTTCATAGTGAAGAAGGGTGCTGCCTGGCATCCAACACACCTCTCTTTGTAGCAGCAGGGCTCCTGTGCTGAACTTGTAGTGAATTTTCAGAAGAGAGCAGCTCCCCTAAAAGCAGTTCTGCGTGAGGAGTGTTGCTGGACTCGAGGTTTTTGGGTTCTCTATCTAGCACCTCGGCCTACTTAACCAAGGAGATAAAGGGCATGGTTGAAGGTAGGGAGGAAGCGTTTTCCTTTGGAAAAAAGCACCCTTATATTCTAGGTCAAGAGGCTGACTGTATCTGTTCCTGAGCAGTCAGGAGAGGACCATTTAGTCCTAAGTTGCTTTTCTTTCAAGCCAATGAAGAATTCTTACCTTGGATTGTAATGTAATATAAAATTGCTTCTATTTTGGTTAGCCCCCAGCCCTGAAACTACCACTGTCATGTGAACAAAGCTACGTCAAGTCCAATTGCTTCAACACTTTGAAGCTGGTCCTTAGCCTTGAAAACTAATGTGTGTGCACCTAGGAAATAATGTAGACCATTAGAAAACCAGATCTCTGGTACGTGTTGTATGCAGTAAATGTTAAACTACACATCTGCTGCGTAGCCGCAGGTTAATGCACCCCAAATTTTCAAAATTGTCCAAGTTTCATACTAAAAAAAATTTCATTTTTAGTTGCACATTTAATTCACCTTACCTAAGCATCTTAAGCATTTCTAAGGTCTCCAGATTAACTTTTTCTTTCTAATTGTTGTCAGAGTCAGTTTTGAGCAAATCAGATTTTAGTAGAGATTCATGTTCATTGCCTTTCATCTCTCTATGTTCAGAGTTTTCAGTATAGTATCTAATGAATTAGATCTTTGTTTTTTGGGAGTTTTAAAGAGATCGAGTTTAATACAAAACTTGAACTAAACATTTAATTCCACTGGGAATAATTTTGAATATGGGAAAACTTGTTCTTTGTTGTGTAGATGTCTTTCTGTTTGAAGCAGCAGTGGTACTTTCAAGTAGCCATCAATGCTTTGGTTGTAGATAAACTAAAGAAATTATTTTGGAGTTTTCCCATCACTACCTCAATGCAGATGCAATTGGATTTCTTTCCCTCTGTTTAATATCAGTTTTCTTATCCTTTTTTAGAATCACCAGATGCTGATACTGCCATGGAGGTAGCTACATCAGAGCAGCATGTTTCTGAGGCAATATATGATTGTGTTATTTGTGGACAAAGTGGCCCTTCTACTGAAGACAGACCTACAGGGCTAGTTGTACTATTACAAGCATCCTCAGGTATGAATGTGTGACTTGTTGGACAAGCAGTGTTTCTGCAGCTTTTAGTATGAGTGCATAAATACTGTTGTGTCTCATGGAGGCTGGAAAGACAGAGCTGTCACTTTTTTTTGTGGATGGTCCTCTGTGAGGCACATGTGTAGGCCAAAGGATACTGAGAAAATTTTTCCATGTTTGGGAAAAAAACCAGACAGCTTAATTCCCTCCTAATTCCTGTTAGCTTTTGCAAACCAGGCAGTACGCAATAGACCTTCAGGAAAATAGGTATTGAAAGAAAAAGAAAATAAAATAGCCGTAGGTATATATGTGTATTTGTGTATGTATGTATACTTTATGTACAAGTGCAAAAGCACAACTTTCAGTATTTAGTTTCTTTAATAATTTTTTTACTGTTTAGCATCAACAAAGCAAATTGTAGTTATAAAACAGAATTTCCTGATTATTTTCTTAATTGTTTAGTGTGTTGTTATCCATTGCATTCTTTATTGGTGGTTTTCTTCATACAGTGTTGGGACAATGCCGCAACAGTACTGAGCCAAAGAAACTACCAACTGCTGAAGAGGAGCAAATATACCCTTGGGATACCTGTGCAGCACTGCATGATGTGAGGCTTACAACTTTACAACGATACTTTAAAGATGTAAGTATTTCAAAGGGACAATACTACCGCATATGAAAAATTTGTGCAAAAAGGTAATTGAAATTGCAATTCAGAGTCCTAGTTTCCTTTCTACATGTAGCAAACACTTTGTAATGTTGCGGTAGTTATGAAGTGTTTACATTTGATAGGGTCCTTATTTTTAAATAGCATCTGGTTTTCCCCTAGTTATATTTTTGGCATATGCATCTAGTATATTTACAGGCTATATAGTCATTAAATGTCGATGCAGATGTTATCTAGAAGATACTTCACAATTCAGTGTGACCACACAATTGAGATGTGGTTTTGCTGTCTTAGGTATTACTTTGTCAAAACACCAGTTTTCTTGTGGCCATTCAGATAACCCAATTAAAGAATTGCTCTTAATGAGGCAAAAGTATTTTGGCAGCACGAAGTATAAAGAGTTGTTTTAACCTGTAACAGTTTTCTGAGCCACTACAGAGAAGGGGAGGATGAGTGGATGGGAAGGAGGGACCAGCAGAAGACTTCACCCTCTTCTGCTGAATCCTCAAATCTGCACATTACTGAAGTTGACTTTTACATTAGTTGGTATGTTATTGTCTGTTCTGCAGTTCTGTTAGCTGTTCCAAGCAGAGTTCTGCATTACTTCACAAAGACACATTACAGCTTTTCATATTTAGTTTTGAGAGCCAATTCTTGTTGCTTAACAGGATTTGTTCAGTTGTGGACCTTTGTGGAAGTGCTACCTCTGACTTTCCTTGCTAGTATATAAACAGCCGTGTAAGATAATATACAACTGTTCTGAGAAATCATTCTGAAGATGATGTGACTTGTGACCCTAAATGAGCTCCTGTAGACTAGTCCCAGGTGACATAACAGCTCTTAGGCAGATCTAACTAAATAATCAGCCTTTAGAAGCTTAAACATTGGCTTTAAAGAGGAAAAACTCTGGCAATTTTTACTCTTGACATGATTGCTAGCTTTCTTGTAATCTGTCATCCACAGATAATTGAAATTTGACAACTGCAGCCAAGCTTGCTTATGTAGAGTAGATCAATTTAGAGTAAATTTCATAATTGTTTTGATATAGTTTTAAAAATTGGGCAGTGTTTTCAGAAAAGCACCTTCTTCTGAGGCAAATATTATACATTTCTTTGCTAGAAAGTAAAACATTTAAAGATGGAAGCAGGAAATTACTTCTGAGCAAAATATATTCTAGTTCAGAAAGAATCTATGGACAAGCTTTTCTTTTTTTGACATTGATGATGTTTGTTTATTGTTTCAAATATTTAACTAGTATTTTTTTCATACTGAACTAATTAAAAACATTGAAGCAATACTGTAGCTTTATTTTTATGTGTTTGCATACTACAAGTGGAAGGAGTTACAAGCAAAATGTTACTCAGAAACTTGGATCTCGCTGAAGTGTGTATTTCCCTTTCTAAGCAGGAACCCTACCAACAGCATAGCCTAAATACACTGTAATGCAATGAACAAATGCACCTGCTTTCAAAAATTCCAGTCCTGATTGAAACTTATTTAGTTAATTAGTTGAATTAGCTATTTTTTATTTCAAGTTTCCAAGTCACTATTGTGCTAAAAAATGTCTCTTCATGAAAGAACTAATCCTTAAATTTATTTTGGCATAAAAATAGAAACATCTGTTAGTGTCTTGAGTGTCTTGTTCAGCTGAGCTAACCAGTAAGTCGTCCTTTTGTTTATCAGCTCTCCTTCCAAGTACGTGTCCTTCCTCTAACAAGAGATTTCAGGAGGCAAGAGAATAATTTCAATTAAATATGAAAATCTTAAGTTATGAAACATGATCTAGCTTATTCTCCTAGAAGAAAAAAAAATATTCAAAAGGTACATGCTATATACAGATTGGGCAAAACAAGCCAATTCTTGCCATAGAGGTTCCCTTTGCACTTTCTTAACTGAAATTTCATGTTTGCTGTCAGGGAGTGGAGTTCTTGCCTGTTAAAGGGAAATGCACTGAATTTAATATGAAGAGGTATGACTAAGGATTAGGAGATAAAACTTTGTTTACTAGATTGACAGGACGATTTTCAGAATCACATTATACTCTGTAACCTATAACTTGATATAGGTGTGCTACATCCCAAGCCTATTGCTTATTTTTGAGTCTTCTTTATTTCTGAACTCAGGAGTGATAGAGTAAAGCCTTTCTGCAAAAACTTTGGGGTTGATTTTTTTCTTTTGCAAATGCTGCTAAGTAGCCTCATTAAATACATGCAATAAATAATACTTATCCTGAATGAAACATTTATCCTGGGACGCTTACCCAGGTGTATCATAGGACTGTGCCTTACTAATAGTGCAGTCTATACTAAATTGTGCTGGAACCAGCAGGAGGAAAATACAGTTTTTCTTATTCTATGGCCTGAGAGTGTCATAGCACATTATGAATGTCAGGTTGAGGCAAGGTAAACAGGAGCATGTCCTGTAGCTAGGATTTGTAGTTTTGTTTTGATTTCCTGTTCATATGCAAGAAAAAAAGGAGATGCTAGGATATCCTTAGAAAATGCAACTGTCAGAGTTGGTTATTCATAGTACCATCGTTTTGCATCATACATTAAAACCATCTTAGGGTGAGTCTACACTGAAAGTTGTTTTCCAGTTCTAGTAGCCATAAATCTTTTCTATTCTTTATGTGTATAACCAGAATGTACATTTCAATCTGTTTATGAAATTACTTTTTTGAGAAATCGAGATGTAATAATTAGACTGACTATAGCTAGGTATTCTGCAAGAGAATTTCTGGAATTCCTTATCGTAAGTTTGCCAGTGGTGACTGTTTTTTCAGTTCGTTATTTTCTGAGACCTACCTGTGTGGTAACTTCTATTTTTGACATGGGGGCTATAAGTGCAGTCTTTGAATAAGGCTAATGTTTTCAAAACAATCCTAATATAAAACTCAATTAACTAAAAAAGTATTTGTTCTGTTTTCCCTTTATGATGTGTTATACACAATATTGTTCAACAACTCATTAAAAACCTTAAGTGTTTACACTGAATTTTAATAACAGATTGGGGTTTTATTATGTAAATATGATCTTGTTATTTTGGTTACATACAAAACTGAATGAAATGTGTTGGAGCAGTATACTGCCCTTGTACATGGGATAACTTGTACTATTGGAACAGGTGGTAGAGTTAGAGCTGTCTTCATGCTGTAACACAAGAGGGTCTTTAAGAAGTGATTATCTTAAGTGACAAGAACTGCAGAAGTTTAACTTAAATGTTTGTCTCTTTGTAGGAAAGAATAGCATTGTGGCAGCCATGTAAGTTAGCATAAGTAAATACCGTATGAAATAAATTTTTTCTTTATTTCCACATCATATGTCTTTTACTTAGCTAAAATGCAAATAAAAATCTACATATTTTTAAAATATTAAAATAAGCTGTGGTAATACCTTTATAACTTTATACATATATTGTTCTTACTGTTTTTGCTTTGCTTTAGAGTTCCTGCTTGCAAGCAGTGTCAATAGGCTGGGAAGGTGGTGTTTATGTACAAACTTGTGGTCACACTTTGCACATAGATTGTCACAAATCTTACATGGAATCTTTACGGGTAAGTAAAGCTAAAGATAATATTTTTTTTATTTGGATCTGAACTGTTCTTAGTGAAATCCATTGGATTTATGCTGTTCAGTTCAGAGAAAGAAAGAATGGGTTTACATGAATGGACAAGATGTTTTTATGATGTTTCAAGAACTGTAGATACTAAATCTCTTACTACGTTTTGACATTATTAACAGAAGTACTTTGCTTTCAGTTATTCTGATATATCAGAAAAATACTTGACTAAATTAATCCTGTTCTTAAAAAAATTAAATCACTGGGGTTTGGATTTTTCTGGTGTGCATCTTCAGGTAAAGTGTTTTTTACACTTTTCATTTCTGTTCCTTAGATTCCTATTTTTATGTTCAACATGCAAGAAATTACAGAGAAACTGAAGAAAAAATTAGGGCAATTTTACAAATATAAACCTGTGCTTTTGGTTAATTCCTGATATGAAAACTCAGTTACAAAATCTTGGATTTTCATCTCTAGTTATGAGTGGTATATGCTGTGTATATACATGCAGTTTAGAGAAATGAGTTAAAATAGTTTAACTCCTGTGATTTATGCTTTTTTTTCCCCCTTGGAAAATACTGCTGGGAAATTACTGCTTTATATGGTTTTAAAATACAATTTGTTAGTCAAGCCTCAAAAATTGTTGTCTTGAAAAGACATACATTTATTTCCACATGGTCTGAGTAAACAGAGTGGTATTGATGTTGCTGGCATCCTTTGCCCCCATCAGCTTCTTGCAGCCCAGTTGCAGATCTTCTGAATGTTATCACAAGCTCAGCAGTAGTAGAAGTAATCAGATTTTAAGCGATCATTTCTTTCTGTATTATTTAGTGTAATAAAGACTAAATTATGACTTCTTGTTGCATATGAAACTGCTTTTTTTTCTTCAAGATTACATTATTTTTTTTATTTCCCACTTTTTGTAACTTTTGTTGATTTGTTTCCATTTTGAGAAAAACTATGTATTTTAATATCAGCGTTGGTCATACTGTGAAATTTACCTCTAGAGAAACGGGAAGATATGCCACCTTTACTGGATCCCATGATTAATTGTTCTTTTCCACTTGACCTAAAGGATGCTTTCACGGGTAATTGTGTCACCAAGATAATTAAAATCTGGGCTTTCATTGTAGAATTTTATTTTACAGAATTCTGGAAAAGTAATATTTTTTATCATATAGACACTGGAGTCCCATTTCTGGTGGTTTCTCATTTAAACTCAAACTGTTGTTCCATCTCATTGTGTTCTTGAAGATTTCTAGATTATTTAAGTGAACTTTTTTGATCCTAGCATGTATTACTACTACCTAGATGAGTGCATAATAATTTTGACTATTCCTAGCATTCTTAGTACCAAAATAATTTATGTAGACTTGTGTTCATCTGGATTAAACACTTATTTTTACATAATACAATCAGTGATCAGTATCCAGAGTGATATGTAAAAGTAGGCTTACCAGAATGCCTCCGCATTCTGGGCTGATTGCTTGAAGTTTAAATTATGGTCACTAAGTTAGCAGTTCTCTTCTCCCAGGAGTGAGAAACTGTTGAGGCAATTCACAAAACTGAAGCAAGGTTGCTTGCTGGTAACGGGAGTACTCGGGAGATGTCCTCACTTCCCAAACACTTCTGTGTCCATTTTTTGATCCTTCATCAGAAAGAAGAAATAATCAGGGTTTTTGTCATACCACTCTCCAATGGCTACTTGATCAGGTTTTTCAGCCTGTACTGCTTCTGAGATATACCTTCAAATATTTCTCACAGCTGAAAATAAAACTGCCTTTTGATAAATCAAAAGATCTTATCAAGGAAGTCTCAAGCTTTATGGGAATTGCTGGAAAGCAACAATACGTGAAATATACCCCATTGAAGTATTTCTAATTTATTATGGGGATACTGTTGGCAATTAAGAGTACTTAAAAATTAGGAAAATTAGTTGAGCTAGAGGCTTTTACGACAGTCTCTAGTAGTTAAGGCCTTTTTCACTAAAATGAGGAGCTATTCCGATTAGTCTTTCTTTACAGTTTTTTGCTTTAGACTTAGTCCTTTAGCTATACACCTGAAATATCCAGCTAAAAGTTATAATCTTTTGCAGATTTCAGTTACATCTTCTTTATTTTCTTCTAGAATGACCAGGTCCTCCAGGGTTTTTCAGTGGACAAAGGAGAATTTACCTGTCCCCTCTGTAGGCAGTTTGCTAACAGTGTTCTTCCTTGTTATCCTGGAAACAACGTGGAAAGAAGCCTTTGGCAAAGTCACAGTAACAAGTGTATGCAAGATCTTGTACAAGAGGTGGAAGATCTTCAAGAACAGCTGGGAACTTTCCCAGTAAGCATCAGTGTAAGGCAGAAAGATCCTTGTTAATTTGCCTCTACCATTCAGTTTTTATATTGTTGCATTTGTGACCTCGTAGAAACTCGACAACATGGGAAACTTCCTTTTCTTCTGATACAGAAGATAGTATACTGGGGTTTTTTTTATATCAAGAGATTTTAAATATTTACAGCACACATTGCGTTACCTACTAAAACAATTAAAAAGCTATGACAAAATCTGATTGATATAATTTTTATGGAATACATTTTCACTTGTCTCCATAATTTACATAGAACTGGGTCATGTAATATAAAATTAATTTATCATTTCTTTACAATGTAAAAACATGAATATCCATGTAACTGGAAGCAGTTTAAAGAATGTCTATTAAGAACATTTTACAGTATGGATTATTTGTTTTACAGAAAGAGCAGATTTCAGATGCTCAGGTGTTATGAAGGTTCATGAGGTCTTTCTGAATTATAGAATTAATTCTATTAATTTTTTTTAGCCTTCCAGTCTTGATAGAGATACTTTGTGTTATTTTCCTGTACTTGTGCAATGCAAATATACTTTAAAATAAAGCAAGCAGTGAGATTCTTAAGCTTAGGAGATGTACATAACAGTGATGCTTTCATATTCAGAGCAAATCAGAATATCTTTCAGAATATTATAACACTTCTGTGAGACAGAATATTGGCTTTTAATGCATATCTTTTCATAACCTGCAAATATGTTTTTATAAATGTGAAAGTGCTACACTTTGCGAGCAGCTATTGCATTTCTTCAGGTAAAATTAATTAATCTTTTGTGTCTTTGTTCATAGTCTGAAACCAATCTCAGTAAAGAAATGGAGTCTGTAATGAAAGATATAAAAAGTACCACACAAAAGAAGTACACAGATTATAGTAAGAGTCCTGGGTCACCTGACAATGATTTTCTGTTTATGTATTCAGTAGCCAGGTGGGTATGTTTTTATTTTTATATTTTTTTCTTTTGTGTTTCTCACTAATGGTATTATTCACCGGATAGTTTTCTTCTTTAAAAAAGGTAATTTAATCCATTCTCTCCAAAAAGTACTTTTGGAGTATGTAGTACGTCAAGGTTACATTTTCGGATTTTCATATGCAGGTATGTGCAAGATGGAAAGATGTGCCTCTCAGTTCATTTTTAGTATATGCAGCAGTGGCACAAAACCTGGAGAACATTTTGTCTTATGCTTATTTAGTTTTCTTCTTTTTTCAAAGTTCTGCTTTCCATATATCAAAATTTTATCTTGAATTTCCTTTTCTGCCTTTTCCCAAACTGTCAAATCTTCTCTACTACTGTTTATCAAAATGAGATTATTTGTAGATCACTGCCATATTGGTAGTTTTTAAATCATGGTGTGCTTTTAATCTCTCCGTCAGACATTAGTTTTATTTACTTAAATGAGGATCATAGAAGGAGCCTTTTCTACATGAGCAACCAGGAATCCCTCTTCATGTGAATAAAACTTCTAAAAAAGTGTCAAAACTACCAGCATTTTCTCTGCTGTTTGATTCCAGTTTTATAGATGTCAGTGTCACAGACACCATCTCCAACTAAATCAAGGAGTCCCTCCTTCCATCTGTACCATTAATGCTAAAATGCTCTGAAAGGTTAATCTGTTCAGATTTACTGTAATGCAGGGTTTTTCCATAGCAAGATGCTGAAATACTCATTAACCAAATAATTTTCTAAACTGATTGAGGCCTGCAGAGAAAGTGCAAGCACACAAGTATACGATCCAGTGGCATTTTTTACTGCAGTTTTATAAACTCCACTTGCTGAGTGTCTTTAGTATATAAACAGTGGAAGTATTCAAGACTTGGATCGGTAGGACTTTGAGTAATCAAATCTAAGGCTCAGCTTTTGACAGAAGGTTGGACCATCTGATCTCCACAATTGTCTTCCAGCCTAGATTATTATATAATTCTATTAAAAGTAATATTATCTGTATTCTTTAAGAGTACCTTAACTGTGCGTCTCTTAAGAAGAACAAATAAATTTTATACATAGCAAGTTAAAATATTTTTCTGTATTACTTAAGTGGTATATACTATACAAGCGTAAATAATAGAGAATTTTAGCAATGATGTGTTTGGTCAATAAAATTTAATATCCTTCCAAAAACCACAAAGGACTCAAAATTAATATTTCCTGTAAAAAAGTAGGATTATTTGTAAACATAACTTGACATGCCATATAAGGTACAAAAATGGTGTTGTAATGTTTCTAGTGTGTAATGTCATATAATTTAAAAAATGCTAGCTAAACGTATTTTAAATATATTTATATTTTATGATTTTTAGATTAATACCCCAAGCCCAATGTTTACAAGAGTTAAAAATACCTCAAACCAGAACAGCATGTCATTGCTGTTTACACTGCTGGAGGGAAAAATCACCGTTGACCACTAAGATTAGGATATGCCACCTGTACTCATTGTGACCTCCTCTTGTTAGGTTAGACTGGTGTGAGCAATTTTGCATTTAACCATGGCTGAAGGATTTCAGGTGCTGGATTCAGCCTTCCATATTGTTACCATAACTCATCACTTATGAGGGTTCCTGGCAGATCAACTACAAAAAGGTTAATTTCTTTTGTCTTTCAGTCCAGATTTACAGGTTTCTGCTACTTGATAATTGCATAAGAACTACAGGTTAAAAAAACCCTAAACTTTTAAAAAGGCATTTTAATATAACCATATAGTTAGTATTTATGGAAATAAGTACATAAGAGAGGTGGTTATGTCCCAGATTGAAAGAGTTTTCTTTGTACTACTATTTTTAGTATGTTTTATTTAATTTTGAGTATCCAAACAATGGACTATCCATAATTCAAATTTCAGACTGAAGTAATTTGCTTTCTGTAGGTTATTCCTGTCATTCATCCTGTTTCTTCCCTATTTCCATCCAGTTCTTTCTGAGGTAATCATATCCTTGTGTTCCTTACCAACCAATTACATTTGAGCATTTCTAGTTTCACGTATTCTGAAACATTTCATTGGTTTTGGTCAGACCATCAACAGCTGTTACTCGTTTCTTCCTGGTATTTAATCTAGCATAATGATAAAGTGGTCAAGATGATAAGTAGCCTCTGTTTAAATAAGCATTTGAATGCAATGATATTTTTCTTGACTCCATATATTTGCAAGTGAATTAAACACTCTTAATCTTCTTATAAGTCATGTTCTATTTTCAATTAGAAAATGACATCATCTGCAGTCTTCTTAAAAGTTAGTTTACAGCTGGAGGCCAGCTTTGAAGTGGATTTCTGTATTCTGGAATGGAAATACTACTGGTTCAACAAGATGTAGCCACTTGCTGCAGCATATCCTTTCTGCTGCAGGAAGACAGCAACTTAGTTTTTGTACTTCACTTTTGCTTACCCAGACAGATGCCACTGGTAGCAAAGAAAATAAATTACAAGCAAAATCTCTACCAGCTAGTGGGAGAGCTAGCCTCTGTCTGTTTTCCTAGCAAAAGAGGCACTCGGGGTCTTGGCATCTTGCTTTGCATGCCCAGCTGGAAGAGCAGCTCCTTAGCTACCTCCCCCTTTCC